ACAGGTATTCTTGGCAATGATGGTAGGTACATACAGTAGCGCAATATCAAATCCTTATAGAATGAATAGGACGTTCTCCTCTTGTATGTTAACCCCAGGTATGGTTGATAACTTTGACCTAATTTCAGATATAAATAATTATGACAGAAGTGGTAGTACGTCCTATAGAAACTAACCCTTTGATCTCAGGGTGTGGTTTGAAGTATAGATACGCCTTATTACTAATAGCGAGACTCCACGGGGCCCTAGTAAGTATACATCCAATTGCTCTTCACGCATGTGCGAAATGAGAACTATATGCCATTTGACGACAGCGTTTTATAACCCAGTACCTACATAATCCGAGTCGGCATAGTTCGGCATATTGCCCTAAGATCAACAACGGTAGACTATATGCCTCCTCTTGTAATTGATCTAACCAAAGATCTAGGTTATTACTCACTCTCAATAAATAAACTAAGAGGGGATCCGATAAGATCCACAGCAAAACAATGTTTCCCGTAAACAATTACGCTCGCTCGCCCCGGTAGAGCCCCAGAACTATGAAGAATCAACTAGATATTCAATGCGAAAGAGGCGCCATATATAACCCGACACCTGAGTGGGGTGATCACGTCAAATCCCAGATAGTTTGCTCAGTATTTGCCAGCGGACCGGACTTAATTAACGTATGCCTACATTCCAATGGTCCATCCGTGTATGGTAGAATCGTGTTAAAATTCAGGCCATAATAAGGCCTTATTGCCTATAATTACAGTCGACGTCATTCAGACAAATATTAGGCCGTGCAGTGTTGAAACAAGCCTTGCTTAGAAATACTGATGATTTATAATATGGGTGTACGTAGCCTTCCTTGTTGGGGTTCGGACACCGGTGATCGAGCTCTTGTACAACCATGAACCAATTAACAAGGTATGCGGGTCATGGCCAATCACTCGGTCTGATGATTTGAAACCATCAATTGGATGTTCGTGCTTATGGGAAGCTGGTCGTCAGTAATAAATTATTAGATCAGGGGTGTAGTATTTGGTTATATAAACCAATTAGGTCCCCTCCGGTGCTTTTTCTATATCATCATCATCATCAGTATCAGTTCAGTCAGTACTTCAATTCACTTTCTCAAAGCCACATATTTACAGTATATCTCATACCCTCCTATACAAGCCCACAATGTCCATAATCGTAACCGGCGCTACTGGCGGCCTCGGCCGCGCAACTCTCGGATATTTATCGGAATTTTCCTCCAGCACAGGCCCCTCTATAGTAGGGACAACCCGCTCGCTCTCCCGCGCACCGCAAATCCCCAATGTAACCTTCCGTGTCGGCGATTTCGACACTCCCAGCACGCTGAACACCGCATTTGCCGGGGCTGCAAAGGTCTTAATCGTATCTACGGATTCCTTCGACAACGAACAGCGTCTAATTCAGCACAAGAACGCCATTGATGCGTGTGTGCGTGCTGGTGTTGGGAGGGTGTATTATACCTCTCTTGCTATCAACGGCAGCAGGGAGCATAGCGTGAGTGAGTTACAGCATACACACCTGGAGACGGAGAGGTTGTTGAAGGAGTAAGTGTATACTCTGACAGTAAAGTATGGAACAGTGGTTAATGTGATGGATAGGTCAGGATTATCATACACAATCATTAGGGAAGGTGTCTACACAGAGGCATTCCCGCTCTACCTCAGCTGGACGCCCGCATCAAAGTCTATTATCCTCCCACATGACGGGCCTATCGCTTTTGCGTCGCGTACCGAGCTCGCTGAGGGGACGGCAAGGCTGCTCCTGTCGGACGACGAGAAATATGCCAACTCGATTGTGGTATTAACAGGGCCTGAGGCTCTGACATTGACGCGGGTTGCGGAGGTCATCCGTGATGAGCTAGGTAATGAGCTGGTCGTTGAGAAGGTAGGTTTGGGGGAGTATGTAAAGGGGCTTGTAGAGCGGGGCGAGAGGTCGGAAGCGTTTGCAAGGAGTTGGGCTACAACTCTTAAGGCGTTTGAGAATGGGGAGGCGGGAGACGTTCATGGGGCTTTGGAGGAGCTGTTGGGGAGACGGCCGAGGGGTGCGGGGGAGGTGGTGAGAGGATTGGTAAAAGAGGGATTAGAGAACGGCGGGTACAGGTGGCATCAGAACGAGAAAGTGAGAGAGGGAGCAAAATAGTCTTGTAGCTACTTCTATTCATCGGTGTAAAGAAAGTACTCATGTCCCGATCATATAATCTCATTTGATCTATAATGCTAGGAGCGTAGTCAAGGTTACAGTTGCCATCATAATCTTCTCTTTCGAGTACCAAAATCTTCTTTTGTTCAAGTATCAAGGTCATTTTTTCGATGTCCCCTGGCAAACTGCAAAGAGGCGGCGTAAAGAAAGATCTTGCAAGAGAAAAAATAAAAAGGATTTGGTGGGTGACCCAGCTCGGCTAACTTGATTAGATAAGATGCTTGGGATAGGTAAAGCTTACCTTCTTCATAAGCCAACATCTCACCACTTGACTAAGTTTTTCCCATCTCCTCCTCACTTACTTCTGCCCCCCTAATTCCCTATCTTGCGACCCCTTCGCTTTTTATTTTCATCTTTTGCCTTTGGGTGGAGGTGTACTGACGTAGCATCCCCTACATCTAGCTCTTCAACTTGAAAGCACCTTCTTGGCCTAGATTTCTTCGTTGCTGCTAGCCAACCTATTCGTTATGGAGTCAGAATAAATTGTTAACAGGCGTGGGGAACTGGCCCTCTGAAAACAACAACTTTCACCTACCGTTAGAACCCCGAAATATTAAAGGTTTACCGGATTGCACTGGGTACCGGATAGGCGCACATACCAATAAAACATTTCCGCTCAGGCGGGGGACTCCATAGCCCCAGAAAGCGATAAGAGTCTCTGGGAGTTTCTTTAATGTACCAAAATATCCATGAATCGAATCTCTTTCTGCACTCTATCACGTATGGTGCGAATAATCGAGTGAGATCTCATGACTATAAAATCAAAGTTCGAAGCCTGAACTCGCTACTATGCCCAGCTCCTGGATCTCCACAATAGGCTCAAATTTCCCGCTGCCACTTAATTTGACGGTAGGCAGCATGTTTTTGATTTCTCCTTCATTAAATGGAAGACCGGAGGACTGACTTTTCCTTCCCGTTAATTCGTCCCTAATTCTATACTCAAGTTTCCCTTAATCTTCTTGACAGCCCGCGTGGTATTGTTTCACATGTCTGTTATGTCACCCTTCACCGGACAAACATTTCCAAGATGTTTCAAGGTCCAGAGAGATGGTCCTTGAATTTAAACAGCAGGAGAATCGTGACTGGATCGGTATGAACAAAAAGACAAAAACACGCCATCTATCAGAAACACAATCTTGTGTTATCTGGAAATTGCATTTGGGGTTGGGATAACGCAAGGTATGCGGGGTAGTCCCTTAGATGCAGCCTTCACACTAGAGCGATCGAAGCAGCAGGCTTGAACTAACTTCCACCACTACAAGTTGTCAAAAGACAATCAGGTATTCTAGGGCTCCATCTATTCCGCAATGGTCGCACCGCTGTTTTGGAGCCGCATAAGAAGATCGTTACTTGTGATTTACTACGCTAATACTTACAGAAAAGCACTAGGGGACTAGAGGCTAAACAATAAATGACTACAAGGGATGGGAATATGATCTGCATAACCTCCCAAACTTAATAATGAAGGCTACTAGAACACTGATGAAGATCACCCGTACCTACAGACATGTTCAACCCTTACAAAAAGTAGACTATTCTAAATGGATATACTCTAAAGCGGAAGGGGTACCTGCCGATCATATTTAGAAAACAAGTCCATCTAGGTGTTGGTGAGATCCGATCCGGTGAAGGTTAAAGCATAAACTGCAAGTCATTATGCAGACTCCAACGTTTTCATCCGTCAAACATAGGCGAGGAGATAATGATTCTGCACTCGTACCTCGAGCTCGATGTGTTCTGCTCACTGAAGCAAAAGTCGCGGAATAACGAACAGATATGGTTGCAGTTTGAGGTCTACCAAACTTGTACAGACTACTAAGTAGTATTTCCTACTCGAATGCTGATAGGTGGGTTCGGCCTTGGCAAAGGATTAACATGGTTCCACAAATAGCATCCGGTAAGGCTTTGCCAAGAAACGCAGGTTCCCAAACACACCGGTATCAAACAACGACAACTCAAGCTGCCCCCGGTAAGTAAATGGCAATGAAGCATGATATGGCGACGGAGGCGCGAGAAATCATGTTTGGAGAAAAGGTCGTGAAATAGTATACTGCTTGTGGCAGAGACTTGAATGAAACGACCAGTATTTTCAAAGGGGGCATCAAGCAGTGTTCACGGACCAGCAACTGGCGCAAGAGCGGGTTTCGAGATTTAGCTACAATTATCGCGAGAGTGTGGCCTGGAGGTCTTTGGTCTTGAGTACCTGTCGATGATTTTTTAGAATCATTCAAGCACCAAGCGAGGGAGCCTGCCATCGAGGAATCGAAAATTCACAGAGCCTGAAGGATCGATAGATAGATATCTAAGAATGAGAATGAACCGAAGAAGCTGTCCACACTTGGGTATTTATTGTTACCGCACTGTTGAATGTAGATATTCCAATTTTCATCGGTGACATATTACTCTCATCACCGTCTATGACTATTTTTCGCATGCAACCCCGAAATGACTACTGTGCCACTTAAACCTACCGACTAATTCTGCATCTTTACCCATGGTAGTGTAGAGGGTGGTATATAGGTGCTGCCACCCATCACAAGCTGTTCTAGTCCCTTCCTCGAGCCTTTCTCGTAGGTATTTTCTGCATCTTCGGTGACCTGGTTCCAGTCACGTTCTTTCATTTGTTTCTTTGATTCATTTCTCTCTCTTCATTCTTGACTCTCCTTAACTCAATTTTGAAACATCAAAAAAGGCAGGACCTTTCGTTTTAATACTCACTTTATAAGATATTTTAACGCACCGGCGGGCCGAAGATGTACCGCGTGGGTAGTAAGTCAATGACTGGCAAAGAGAAGCTCCTCGAAGCCATAAAGCCATGGCTTTGCTGTAGTAGGCCTCGCCACAATAATAATAAATACCACGACCTAGAGAAGTCCGGTAATTCCTCTGGTAAGTATCAAATAGAAGCAAGCCTTCCACATAGACTAAGAAAAGGGACTAACAATTATTTCGCGAACAGGATTAAACATCTCGGCCCCCATTGCTATCGAGGTCAATGGGAAACCAGGAGGGGATTTTGGAGGACCCATGCTGAGTGTTGAGGAACTACCAACCGGCCAGCCGCCGAAACGGCTTGATGGGAACTTCGACCCAAAGTTCCCGCCGGCATCTCTGGGCTCTTATGCGCCTGATAACGAGAAACGGAGGACGTTCGACTTCTTCCAGTATACCCCGACGGCGCCAAATCGGATCACGCAGATAATCGATTCATATGGCGATTACGGGGAAGGTCCGAATGGAAGGAAGCCTCCAGTGCCACCGGTGCCGTTGAAGTTGGACGACGACTATCTCCGTAGTGAGATTGAGTTTATTCGCGCGGCGGCGAGAAAGTATCCTGATAATGCAGACCTTTCAGCGGCTGCGGATGCAACGTATCTCGTTGACGAGAATGGGGAGCCTCGGCCGGAAATGATCAAGGCAATAGATAGAGTATTGGGAGGTTCAGCGAGAGAAAGACAACACATGTCAAGCTCGTCGATATCAGATTATAACTCGATGAACCTGATACAACCATTGCATCCAAAGCCAGCACGGTGCAGAGATGGTGACCAACCAAGGCAATTGCTGAGATCAATGGATGAAAGGAAGCAGCTGGAGCAGAGACTACTGAATATCCAAAGATCTCTCTCACAGCGCAAGAAAGATAAGACAGATTCTCTTTTGGTCCCATCCGCAGCACACGGACCTCAAGGCCCGCATTCCTTACAGCATAGTACGTCAACCCTAAGCTCCTTGATTGCGTTATCTCCTAAGGAAAGCGTGAATATTGACCCTTTTAGTAACAGGGGAGGTGATTGATGAACTCATTGATGATTTCTATGACGACGATTGTCCTCAAGTCACCCAAGAGAGCTTGCCTAAGCCGCCTCCACCATCCGCCCAACCCCGCCGTGCGCCAACGCTGTCCGCCTTGAATCCACACCGAAGAAATACGTTTAGAAATAGTAATCCCCTCGATGACTCCAGGTTTTCGCTTAATTACAGCGAATACATCTATGAGGAATACGGCAAGCCCTCGCCAACCGAAGTCATGTTTCCCACAGCAGCGGATGACCCTGGTCTAATGAGATCTGTATCTCAGCGTCCTGCAGAGCCACCTCTGCGACGCACCCGTTCGTCCGAAACCATCGTTCCACAAAGAACACTGATGTTGTCTCGTAACGACTCTGTGGCATCAGCGCCAGGAAATCGCATCGACAGATGGCTGTCCAAACAGGACGAAATATATGGTGCCGAGGATTCGGGGCCAGCTCCTATCACCAATCTTCCCCGCCTCCCCAAAGCATCTAGGCTATCCAAGAGGCCGGAATCACTGCTTAGGAGAAATTCAATTGGCACTGCAGAAGACTACTGGCCCTCAGCACGCGACATCATACCAAGTCCCGGGTTCCCTCCCCCTGCTAACTCATGTGTGGGGATACCCTACTCTGCCATGTTGAGGAAGGATCCAGCAACTGTTAGCGTTGTTAGCGCAAACACATATCACAGCGCTTCTTCTGTTCCGCCTCCACCATCTGAACTGGCGCAGCAGTACATATCTGAACTAGAGGGTATTCCTACTGGCCCTGGAAGGCATTCGATGGAAGACCTGCCGTCCCATGGCCACCGCTTGACAGGCTTCGAGGCTGGTAAGATGATTTAAGATAGATCTTGGCCCTAAGCTTTTCTTCCCCGCATTTTGATCTTCCCTCGGCCCGGGTGGGGAGATATCTGTCGCCTGTGAATCTGTGAATGTGGGGTGCGTGATTAGTTTGACCGTTGATACCTAAAGTATTTTTCCGTGCACAGACATCCTTACCTTCTACCCCACAAGTTGAGTTGAAACGGATCATGCCGTACGTGTAACTCTATATCTACCCCTATCAATGTTTTTCTTTTATTTTATTGTGTTTTTATATCTCTTTTGTCATTTCTTTTTCTTTATCCTTTCCCTTTGTATACTTCTACTGCCTAGGCGTTCGTTAGTTTAGTTTGGGGACCAATGATGAAACGCATGGATAAATAATTACCCGCAACTTCGGTTTTCTTTGCAATTATGAATCTCAAATATCAGAAACAGGGGCAGGCCACGTGAAATGGAGTATGTGTATTATCGTCCGTAATATTTTGAAGTACTAGTAGAGCGGGAAAATGTAGATTAGTCACAAGACAGCATGATCTTGCAGTATGCAGCTCAATTGACCGTGAACGCAGATCAGGGCAGAGCAGGCAGAAATGGGGGTGGAAGCTGCATAACGTCTCTGTCGAAGGCGTTTCTTGGGGACGCATGGATATCTAGGCAGAGAGATAGGGAGTGGCAATCGCAAATCAATCGATTAGGTTAGCATTAACTAAATTAAACTGAGGAACTTCAAGGAGTGTGCCATCGAAGTTTAAAGGGTTGAAGTCATGATTACAACTGGCCTCTTCCTGGACATACTAGTAGTGGGGCCTGACACTGCAAAACCTAACCCATGGAATCAAGATTAGATTAGATTCCCCAGGTGGCAATAATTTCAGCGTTGATAGCTACATGTAGTAGAGATAGCACTAGTACAAATGAGAATCAATGAATGGAAAATCAGTTGGAATATCATTGACAATGAACCCATCAAACCAAGGATAGAGATGTAGATAAGTTCTGCATAAGCATCCTAGCCATAGCAACAGGATCAAACAATTACGGTTGGTCAGGCCCAGAGTAGTCTTGGCTACAATTACAGCCTCCATAACGTCGATTTGATTCTGAAATCGAATCCAAACCAATTATGGTGCAAACTACCGTATGAAGAAGGGAGAAGGAGGATACGGATAGAAATCCCCAGATTTTGAACAGTTCGGAGAGAGCCGATGTCCTGACTCGGGGAGAGCGAGATTAGAAATCCGCTTAAGCAAGCCACATAGATTCGTCACGGCAGTTAAGTGCACTTGGCTTTTGCAAACACCCAAACTTATATTCACTTGCACCTTTGTAGAGAAGAGGTACGTAGTTAGAGCCAGTCCAGACCCAATCTTTCCTTCTATCCATTTAGGAACAAGTGAGCCACTGAAACGAAACTTCGGTACCCCATACTTGGCTGCCCCTAGCAACGCAAACTAGAACTTAGTAATCCAATCCAATCCTAGATTAAACAGATAGGCGAGACGAGTCTCCTCCTCGGTAAAAACCTAAATTTGTTTCATGGGTCCTCAGGGTTTTATGAAAGAAACGACAGAAAAAATAGCTCCTATACGAAACAGGAGAAAGCATGTAGGTACACGTTAAGAATTAATTGTATCGACAATAACGTTCGCGTAGAACGTTCTACATCTTGTCTCGGCTGGGAGGCGTGAAATTAAGCATGGAATTGAGCCCCCAACCACCAGTTCTTCAATCTAAACTCCGATCCGGGTGTAATCTTGGGTCCAGGTAAAAAAAAAATACAAAATCCTGATCATCAGCATGGGAATCCTTGGTTTCTTGCCTTGAGGAATTAACATTCTACTGAATTTAACCTATGCGTGTGCATGTGAGCAGCTGGCTAAGAAGGAATCCTTGTAGACCCGCCCTGGCGGTTCCATTATTTTAGACCAGCTAGAGTATTCATACCTAACCTACATGTACTTAGACTACAGTCGCTTACTCTACATACATCTTTGCTGCATTTCCTTCGCCGCAAACAAGGTTTCTCCACTTTGGATTAAAAGCAGTCATCAAGAGATTAGGTGGAATAAGGTACCCCCTGTAGCTTGTATATCATAGGTTAGTTTAGTAGGGAATGATAACTACTAATCGTTTGTTTTCTGGGGAATCGACCTTGCGGCGGAAAATAAACCCCACACCACACTATTTGACAATCAATCCCTGGGGCGCATACATTAGTTTCTACTCTATTCTAACTAGACACGTACCTACATAGCGATATGTGCTTCAGATGTTCCAACGGTGTATTTTGGGTAGTTGAATGAGTAACTAGTTAGCTAGAGCACATAGAGCACAAGACTTTTGAGAACAAGGGTTTTTTGTTTTGGCCATTTTGCCACAGAGCGAAGCATTTGATCTTTATGCATACGGTCGAGATTATAATATCCTTCCCCCCTTGAGGAAGGGTTACGTGTCGGGAGGTCGGTCATGGTAGAGGAGTATCTACAGTACCAGTAGAGTATTGGAGATAGTGAGATTGAGGAATGTACCCTACTTATCATTTTCATGTAGGTACTCTGGATAACTACGGTAAACTCCATTCGGAACTTGAAGATTCCAGGTACGCAAGAATACTTGTTGGTAGTCTCAGCTTCAGTCTCAGTCCAGGTCAGCCTCAGTCTCGTGCTCTCTCCCTCTCCTGGTATGTGCAGAAGTTTTAAAGGCCCAGAAGGGGTGAATATGTCGTAGTAATTAGGTAAGTAGGGGACCTAAGACACGACAGTCGGTGCTGAAAGCCCAAAATAGCACCTTGAGATGGGAGTGAAGAGATTTCAGATCGCCTACTCTTCCATGAATGGATGAAAAGGTGGTTGGGTGTGTGTGGTATGTGTGCTGTATCGGTTCCAGTTCTGCTGTTGTTGTTGTTGCCAGAGTAGTATTGATCCCCTTTCGAAGAACGGGGTGGCACAACTGCTGCAGCGAAGGTTAATTTACTACCACCAGTCGTGGTTGTCGCTCTTGTTACGAGTTGGGAACCCGTTTCAGGACCGTAGCCCGAGCGGCCTGGATTGAGTTGTAACTTGTCGGCCACCGCGGTGAAGGTCCAACCTAGAATGCGCTTGTACCTGTCAACTTTGCGAGCGCCGGCTGGCTGGCCATATGTAAAACCAATCGACAATCGACAACCAATTCGCAATCCGCACTTGCCCCCCCCCCCCCCCCCAGACGCCACACACGGCACTGCTCACATGTGGTACTGACTGCTGCTAGGTAGAAGCACACATTGAGCATTGTCTTTTTTTTTTTTACTGTGGGAGTGGGAGGACTTGAAAGACGCGCTCTCTCCGCCATCAGATCCATCAGATCTAGCCAGCCAGCCACCTGCTACAAACCATCTGTCCGTCCGCACCTTGAAGTCACGTTCGCAGAGGTCCTGGCTCTGGAGCGTCATTTATTTTCATTCGACCTGCGTATGTAGATAGTGGATTATTGCAAATGCCCCAAGCTGACGAATGAGATCGTCGTTTTGAGAATCTGGTTTAGATACCGTTTCTTGTTCTGTTTTTTCGAAGCTGCTACACATATCGAATGGGGGGTGTTGCATTGCATTCCGCTTCAGGAAGTTTTCCCCGTTAATCTCTGATCCCTGGATGGATTGAATAGGGATCCTGGTGCTTGCAGTTGCAGTTGCAGTTGCAGTTGATTCTGAACAGTGAGACTCGTCGTCAAGAGTAAGCTTAGGTGCTAGGGAGATCTACTCCTAGTCAACTCCTCCCACCCCCCCGCGTTATCGAATCTTGCACTACTGCACGCGCAATTCTCGGGTAGAGTGCGATACCAGATAGGTTATTTTACCTGCATGTTTTTCTATTTCCAAGCGAAGCATCTAATATCAGAAGCGGCCTAGTTGAGGAAAAGGTTAACAACACCCTGGCCGTTCCTTAGCATCAGATTCATCTTTCCTCTCGATGTTAAGAAAGCAATTATATTTATCCATTGTACTCTTGGTAATTAACTAGGTACCTGGATGGGAAGGTTTGCGCCGGATAAAGGCCCCTTCTAGTGGACGGGAAGTCATGATGATACACACAACACAGCAGCCATCTCACAAACAAAAGGAAAGAAAAAAAGAATTGAGACACAGATGCTGAAGCAAGCTTTATCGTGGCGGAAGGCTGCTTACAGTACATGATCGGTAAGTTAATATAGGGTGTGTATGAGTTAGATACATACCTGATTACCTAGGTAGAGTACTCTACTCTACTCTACAACGCCCCCAATATGCATGGACCAAATTGTAGCAGTGCAATTACCCACACATTCCTCACGTACCGGTGGAAATAATGTTTTATACTTCATCAACTGGATTCTTGGGTTTCCAAGTTTTCTCATGACTCCCTCGTGGTTTCCTGTAGGACATGCATACCTGACATTTGCCTCGGTACAAATCATCTATCTAGACAACGAAATGAAGGTCTAGGGCAGAAAGGTACAGGAAAAGAAAAGAACGCAGGGAAAGAAAGAAGAGGGAGAAAAAAATATGAAAGTGTCTCTGTCCCTTTCTTTTTGGTCGCGGGATAGGGGCCATGCGTGTAAAGTTGAGTTGGTTGGCTTGCCTTGCAGTAAAGTGCTTGGAGGGAATTAAATTTAGGTAGGTATTCACATCTCGAGTATTAATGCCTTACGCATGGGGGAAACAATTGAGAGACTCAACCATCCACTCAATTGAAAGCCGCCGATGGAAAGTTCCTACACTTGATCTGCGTCTCGGTCCTTTCCCCGTATCTTCCGTACGTCTTGGTATGAAGTAGGCATACTAGTATGTAGCTCAATAAGGCCGAGTTATTTGACAACCTTCTAGTCTTAAGTTGCTTGATTGCTTGTCCCTGTCGACCGAGCTCGTCACACCCTCCATCACACGCCTTTACCCAAGACCTTATTTTTCCTTTTTCTTTCCCTAGGGTTGGGAAGGGGGTGATGCCAAGTACGTGTTTCGCACCCGTTGGGTGGGCTGCACTTATGATGTGGGTTGGAGGCCT